TGTCACAATACGCGTAAATGAAACGAAAATGAGCCATTTAAATATATTCTCAAAAATTTGACATGAATGATCCATTTACATTCCCAAATTAAGTTAGCTCCTCTACATATACCAAAAATAGGAGTTAAAGTCTTAATACAACTATCCAAGTACACAAACTTGCCCAAAAAAATAGGGTTACACGAGTAAGTCCACTCATGTAAGTTGAAGTCATGTAAGTTGAAGCCATATGATCAATGCTTAACTACAGTCAGTGTGTTTGTCGGAGCCATATGATCAACGATACTAATTATTATGCTCCAAATGTATTGCGTGTTTATGTTATAATTTTTTAGTATATATAAAGTCTGTATAAAGAGTGCTGGCAAGCATTGCCAAAAAAATAATAATAATAAAATTTATTAATTAATCCACCAACCAGGAAGTAAAGGCTATTGATCATTCAACAAACATTTATTTATAACGAGGCAGAGTGTTAGTTTGGGCCAGACTCTCTTCAATGATCAGCACATGTAAAAATAACAGTGGCGGATCCCCACCCCCCCTGCCCCGCGCGGCCACAAAAGTACAGGTATATGTAGCCTAATGTTTAAAAAAAAATAATAATAAAAAAAATCAGTAATAATATTAGTTTTTCAATTTTAAAGCATCTAAACAAGCCTAATATTTAAGTCACAATTTTAAAATAAAAGCTCAACTAAATAGGCCCAAGTCAAACTAGTCCTAAATAATCACTAAGCTAAAACACAGAGAACTTCTAAATTCATAATCTTGCACAAACGAGAGAATTCACTCCTTCTCTCCTTCTAAAGTTTAACCCTATTTTCTTTAAAATTTTATAACTTATTAGTTTTTCGATCCCTAATTCCTCCTTATTTAATATTAGCTCCCCATTAACAATTTCTAATTCCCCTTGAAAAATAGTGATTCTAAAAAACATCTTGTTTTTACTTCTCTTTTTGTACTCTTTGTAGATGTGTAATAGTATCACCTAGACTAACAACCACTTTAAATTTACCTTATTTAGAAAGAAAAAAAAAATTATTGTTCATTTGACAGAATTTTATATAATTGATTGTACATTTGAAGAAAATAGATCACCCAAAATGGATTGCCCATTGGATGTTCCTTATCCAAAATTATCAAAATCTATTTTATTTATTTTTTTCTTAACTAAATTTTTAAAAATTACTTTCAAGTTTTACTTTTCTAATTGAAAGATAAATAAGTTATAATATTTTTTTAAAAGACTAATAGGACCTATTCTTGAGAATTTTTAAATTTTTTTTAATTATTTAAGTCATAAATCACTATCTCTCTCATTTATATTCTAACTTAAATTTCAAGACAAAGTAAATTCTGAACCTTGTAACAATGATTACGCACACCTAAAAAAAAAGTTACACATTATGGTACTAGGATTAAAGGTCCTAGAACTTCACCAAAATGATAGTTACGACGAGTTTACTCATCAATTATTAGGCAATTATCTATTTTCAATGTTTAATTATTAAGGTTATGGAACCATTTTAATAGCAGCAAAAGCATCCATTTTAATGTTGGGCAAGGACAGTCAAACAATCCTGTTCCCTTTTGATTATCTAGACTCATTGAGAGACGTGGACCCGGTATATGACTTCAATCATTTTTTGGTTATCCCCACCCAAACTTGGGTGATCGACCCGGCAACCCCAATAATTCGCACCGGCTTAGTGCTTCAAAATTGGATAATTTTTATTTAAATCTATTGAGGTATGTCTATGCATCAGACATACATAATGCTTTAACTAGTACACAAAAATGGATATCATATTTTTTCGTCTATCAATAACTGCATGCATTGCACGATGGACGTGAAGAAGTAGACCATTATTCCGGCAATAATGAGCCAAATCCACTTATATTTGCATAATGACACGCACCTCTCTGCGCCTTTCCAACATCATCATTGTGATTGGACTAGGCAGGCCATACAAACAAATGCATTATGAGTCTAATTTTTAAAAAATATTTGTTTGCTCCCTTTTTGATCTAAAATGGATTTTTTACGAACTAGTTTATTTGAGTATGTATAAATTGGGTAGATTTTCTTGATTCATTGGTGTCCTTGTGTAACAAGGATCATTTTGTCTCACATCAGAATCGGATGGAAAATAGATTGGGTATAAATGCGTAGGTATGCAGCCTTACCTAACAGTTCGAGCTTTTGGGTAAATGGGCGAGCGCCCACCCGTTACAGTTGGTATCAGAGCCAAACCCAATCCTTGATCCGGTGCCATGCCAAGTGCCCGGCCCGGAAGGCATCCGGGTGAGTCCACCCGGGTAGGCAGGGTGGTCCAACCGCAACGAGGGCGTTGCGAGTTTGGGTGGGGGAGAATGTAACAAGGGTCATTTTGTCCCACATCGGAATCGGATGGGAAAGAGATTGGGTATAAATGCGTGGGTATGCAGCCTTACCTAACAGTTCGAGCTTTTGGGTAAATGGGCGAGCGCCCACCCGTTATACCTTGTGTTCTTTGACGGATCCATGTATAATTAACTTGAGGCTTATTTTATATATTCATGTATAAACCATTTTATAGTTGTATTTAAGTTGATAATTATCATGGTAGCACACTCAAATTTGTTTGAGATTATTTGTATTGAATTGAGACCATGAATGGATTTGGATTTGTATTTTGAATTATTTTTTTAGTTATTTTATTTGGATGGTTTCTAAAACATGTTTTTGTAATAGCTCATATTTCGGGTCGTAACTGAACTGGTCCTACTATTTTGGGCCTGTCGCACTTTGTTGATATTTTTAAAGACAATTTGTTATTTCATTTTGAAAGCCCAAAGATTTGAAGATTTCATTTTGTGGAGTAAATTGAAGGTTTCTTTGTGATTGATATCGAAACTCCTTATAATTGTAAAATTCTTGTCCAATAAAGAATTTGAATTTGAAAACTCTATAAATAAAGATGAGCTTGGATAAAGAGATAGAGATTAAAATAAATGAAATATGTAATGTTGTGTTTGGTATGCAGAATGGAATGAAATACAAATGAGAATGCAATAAAATGTGTCATTCATATTTTATTGTTTGTAATAGAATGATCATTCTCATTCTATTATTTGGTTGCAAATATAAAATATGTATGAATAGACAAATATAAAATTTTAAAAAGAATGAATTTCAAATTGAATTATCCAAAATACTCCTGTAAGTGACAAATTGTTATTCAAGTATTGACTCTAGAGGGAGTGAATAGAGTCTATGGCAAATAATAGACAATTTTCGATTTAAAAAAGCAATTTCAAGTAACAAAATTATGTAATTATACAAAAATATGAAATAAGCAATTAAATAACACAATTATGTAATTATAAAGATATGAAATAAGTAATTAAATAACGCAATTATAATAGAGATAAGAAAAGAAAAATTACAAATTGCAAACTATAACACGGCGATTTTTACGAAATTCGAAGACTCAAGATATCTCTTGTTTTTCCTTACAAAAATTTCTTACAAAATTTTCTCCCAAAACTGAATCACACCAATCTGTGGGTCAGACCAATCCTTACAATTTGTTTGCCAATAAACTCATTCCGTTAGCCTTACAACTGATTTGAAGATAGTATTTGAAGTACAAGAATTTCTCCCAAACCTGAATTACAGTCAAAGTTCACACTATATACATGAATAAAAATAAAGCTCAACACTCCAGTAAAGACGTGTATGCGAGGAGATGATAATTGAACAAAACAAAAGCTCTATAAATATATTTAACTAAAAAAAAAAAAGCTCTATAAATATAAACCGGAAATCAGAACAAAAGGTCTGCTAGAGATTAATTCAAAAAACAAAGCCATGTAAATGCTAAGTAAAACCCAGAACTGAAGTTCCGATGAGGTTCACAAAAAAAACATTATTAACTAGAAATTCACCAACCAGACAATAAAGGCAATTGATGATTCAACTGACATTTATTTATAACGAGGCAGGGTGTCAGTTGAGGGCTAGACTCTTTTCAATTGACGCACGTGTAAAAGTAGTGATTCTAAAAAAATCTTTTCTTTTCTTTTCTTTTCTTTTCCCACTCTTTGTAGATGTGTAATAGTATCACCTAGACTAACAACCACTTTAAACTTACCTTATATAGAAAGAAAAAAAAAATTATTGTTCATTTGACAGAATTTTATATAATTGATTGTACATTTGAAGAAAATAGATCTCCCAAAATGGATTGCACATTGGATGCTCCTTATCCAAAATTATCGAAATCTATTTTATTTATTTTTTTCTTAACTAAACTTTTTAAAATTACTTTCCAGTTTTACTTTTCTAATTGAAAGATAAATAAGTTATAATATTATTTTTAAAGACTAATAAGACCTATTTTTGAGATTTTTTTTTTTAATTATTTAAGTCCTGAAACACTATGAATCCATTTGTTTAGATAGAATTTTTTGATAGAAAGTAAAAGTGATCGAAATTGAAGAAAATTAAGTTTTTATCGTACATTTGATTAGTATGAAAATTTTTCATAAAAATTATGAGAAAATATAATTTTGTTAATTAAATAGGATGAAAGTGAAAAGAAAGTGACCTTGTTTTTTATCAATCAATGTGATTCTACTTATTTTTATACCATTTGAGTATGTATAAATTGAGTAGATTTTCTTGATTCACTCATGTACTTATGTTTATTGACGAATACATGTATAATTAACTTGAGGCCTATTTTATTTATTCATGTATAAATCATTTTATAGTTGTATTTAAGTTAATAATTATCATAATAGCACACTGGAAATTCGTTTTAGATTATTTGTGTTGAATTGGGACCATGAATGGACTTGGATTTGTAGTTTGAATTATATTTTTGGTTATTTTATTCGAATGGTTTCTAAAACATGTTTTGTAATAGCTCAAATTTCATGATGTGACAGGACTGTTAATTTGTTGATGTGTATGGACAGTTTTCTATTTCATTCTGAAAGCCCAAAGACTTGTGGAGTAAATTGAAGATTTGGGATAGAAGCCAGATTAGGCTGCTATTGGGTAAAGGGTTTCTAAAGGACTTCTCTCTCTCTCTCTAGTTTCTCTCTGTCTCATGGCTTCAGCAGAGCAGAAAGTGAAGGTGGTTGAACATTGTGAAATCTCTCCACCACCAGGCTCAGTTCCTCCAACCTCTCTTCCCCTCACCTTCTTTGACATACCATGGCTTCTCTTCTCTCCAAGCCAACCCCTCTTCTTCTATGAACTCCCCCACGTATCCACCACCCACTTCACCACCATCATCCTCCCCAACCTCAAACACTCTCTCTCCCTCACCCTCCAACGCTTCTTTCCTCTCGCCGGAAACCTGACTACACCATTACACCCCACCAAGCCCCACCTCGTTTACACAGAAGGCGACTCCATCTCCTTAACCGTCGCCGAGTCCACCGGAGACTACTTCAACCATCTCACAGGCCACTACCCGCGACACGTCCGAGACTTCCACCACCTTGTCCCTCAGCTAGAACCACCAACTGTGTCATCTGACCCACATACTCACCCTACTCTGGCAATCCAAATTACAGTTTTTCCCAATTGTGGTATTTGTATTGGATTCACATTTCTCAATGTGCTTGGTGATGGAAGAACTTTCAACAACTTCTTGAAATCTTGGGCCTCCATTTTTAGATTGGGTATAGACTCGGACTTACCTGTGTTGAACCAGTTCTATGACAGGTCCGTGATCTCTGACCCGAATGGACTTGAACCAATCTTTCTCGAAGAGTGGTGGAGCCTAAGAACTTCACAAAAGGAGTTCATGGACACCAGTAGGATGGGTTTAAAAGACATGGTTAGGGCCACGTTTGTGATGGGTCCAACCCATATGGAGAAACTCAAGCAATGGATCCGAACCCGATCCAAGAAGATATTCGGGTCACCGGATTTGCATTTAACACCATATATTATAACTTGCGCATTTGTGTGGGCTTGCTTGACTAAAGCTCGAGGGATTGACAACAAAGAGGTATGTGAAGAACTTCACTATTTCGGGTTCATAGCAGGTGGAATTACCCGATTGGATTATCCGGTACCCACGAATTATTTTGGTAATTGTGTGGCATTTGGTCGACCAGTGACGAAGAGAAATGAGTTACTCGGAGAAGATGGGATTGTGTTTGCGGCAAAATCCATTGGAGAGACGACTAAGAAGTTGGATGGGGATGTTTTGGGAGGTGGGAAGAGCTGGATTTCGGATGGGAAGGTGTTATTAGGGTCAGAGCTTCATGTTACGGTTACTGGGTCACCCAAGGTGGATCTTTATGAGTTGGATTTCGGGTGGGGCAGACCCAGGAAAATAGAGGAAATCTCAATTGACAGGTCACGTGCAGTTTCACTTACTGAAAGTAGAGACGTGGAAGGTGGCATTGAAATTGGGTTAGCTCTTTCCAAACCTAAGATGGATGCTTTTGCTTCTCTCTTTGCCAACAGTTTTAATGATCTTCTGTGATCAACCACTCTCTCTCTCTGCGTGTATCATGGTTATATAGGTCGATATCGACCCTTTTTAAAGTCCAAATGAGTGATCTATATCTATTTATTTACATTAATTTTATTTAATGTCGTTATATCGTGATCGTAACCGCGACCGATACCGCAATTATCAGCGCAACATGATATTTTTAAAGTTATTATTTGAGCAGTGTATTTTTAAAGTTTTACTTCTTGTAATGAGCTTGACTCCCACTGATTGAAGGGCAGTCTCAACTGGACTTCTGTCTCAAATGTTTGATGGAAATAAAGTAAGATTATTGTTTTTTCATGAGGAGTTTTATTTATTTCTTGTTTATTAACGGCTTTATTAGTACTCATTATGCTTGAGAGATACATTAAACCCAGGTTTATGCAAAATTATAATTATTTTTATATCTCATACTAGTTACTAATGTTTGTTGTATTTTATTTATTTTTACTAAAATGATTTCATTTCTTAATTTAACTTTTTAATTCAATTTAAAAATCATAAAATAGCGGTTAAATCTAGGCTTGATCACGATTCGGATCTGTTCGGTTTGGGAATAAATCTCAAGCCGAACTGGTCCCCACGAATTGTTATAAACTGGAACCAAACCGATCCGTGAAATAACGAATCGGATTGGATCGGTTCCCATGGATTGGGCTGATTGGGCTTTTCAAACAGCCCAATAGATTATGGCCCATTATCAGCATTCAATTATGGCCCAAATCAATGCTATTTACAGGGAAAAAGAACAGTCCATGGAACCAAGGAAACCTAAAAGAAAAAAAAAATACAAAGAATAAAAATTTCAGAAAAAGCAAAACACCTCCTCGAGACATAGTTTCATAATGAAACAGATGTTACTCTAGTAATAAAGTTTTAAAACATAAGAATTGACAATCTCCAGTAACTTATTTGATGAGGATTTAAGGTGGGTATCACTCTATTGTTTCACACTAGTAAATCAAGCAGAACCATACAAGCTGAGAGCAAAACAAATCCCAAAAGAGAAGAAAAAAAAAGCTACACAAAAAAGAGCAGCAAATTTTCTAGAGATTAAAGTGGATGAAAAGAAAATAAATATATATATATATAAAATTCAATATGATATTTTTAATTACTGCCAGTGGCACCATCTTGCTGGAGAGATGAATACCGCTGTTAATTGGAGTGGGTATTTCCATGTATATCCCGAAATCTGAGTTACATCTCAATCAATTGCCAAGAAAGGGAAGCAGGTTATACAAAAGTCAGTAGTCTGAAATTCATTCCTTCAACCTGTTTCATTTTATTCACTTCACCTAAAATCACCTTCAACCTGTTTCATTGGTCTATTTTCCAATGAATAACTTTACATCTTGGGAAGGGTTAGGGCAATGGATTCCTTGTCTTGACAAAGGAAAATAAACGGATGGTCTACAAGTATTGGGCTGAATCGCACTCCAGCGACCTGAGAGATCTGCGTTCAGCGAACAGATACGAGAACCCCCGGTGATGGCATACATAGTGGAGCCCAAAGCCACACAGTTACAGTTTAGCCATGGGATAGCAGTCGGCGGCGTCGTCTTCCAGGATAAGAAGATCAATCACTGTGTTTTGGTAATTAATGGAAAATATTGATGTTATTTACAAAAAATGTTCAGAGAAGAAGAGAATAAGAAGATCCATGCAAAAATTTTGTGAACTCACCGGAACAGAAGTAGATCCACTCGAAGAGGTCGCCGTTGCTTCGAATCTGGTGAACGATGGTTGAGAGGTGTTAGATTGAAAGGCGAGAGGAAGACAGAGGCGAAGACTGTCACAGACTCACGGAGGCGAGAGGAGAAGACTGAAGAGGGTGAAGATAAGAGGCTGAGTTAGTGAGGGAGGCGCTGAAATGAGATTGGAGTAATGAAGAGGAAGGCTGAGTTAGGGTTAGGTTAACATTAAGGCTTTGTTTGGTACGGTGGGTTTGAAGGGGAAGGATAACATTAGTTATGAGGGAAAGGGAAGGAAAATGAAGGATAATTTTAAACCTCCATTGCGTTTGGTTGATTAATGAAGGAAAAGAAAGGGAAGGACAATAATTATGTTTGGGAAAAGAAAGGAAAAGAAATGGAAGGGAATTATTTTAACATATGGACTATTATACCCCTTTATATTTATATATTATATATATATATATATATATAGTTTCATGTACTTGCCAAAAAAAAAATAATAATAATAAATAAATAAAAATTAGGGCAAATCATTTCAGCCTCCCTAATCCTCCATCTCTATTATATATATATATATATATATATATATATATAAAGTCTTTAACTTGAGGCCATAAGAAAAGAAAAATAAAAAAATAGGGCAAAGCCTCCCCAATCTTGCTCCATCTCTGCAACTCCTTCTCAACACTGAACTTGGCCTCTCTCTCTCTCTCTCTCTCTACAAGAATCAGAAATTCAAAACCCATATATTTCCAGTTTATCTATCTGTTTGCAAGAATCAAAAGTTCAAACCCGTATCGATGTATCATTTCAGATTGTTCAGAAAATCCAAAACCCATATCTTTCAGTTTCCATGGCTGCTGTTCCAGTTTGGGTCGCCGTTCCAAGCTTCAATCACCGGCGGTCTCTCTCTCTCTTTGCAATCTTGAGGGTAAAATTGGCATCTGAAATCACCCATCAAGCCTCTCCTTCCCTTTCCCTTCATTTCCTCCCATTTTTTGGAGGTTAAGAAATCTACTGTTGAAGGCACAAGCTAACCCTCCAAACCCTTCCCTTCACTTCCCTTTCCTTCCAACAATTTTTGCCAAACACACATTTTTAATCCCCCTCCATCACCTTCCCTTCCCTTTCCTCCCTTTTCTACTCTACCAAACTGACCCTAAAAGAATAATGAATAAAGAAAAAAAAGAAAAAGAAATACGGTATATTGTATATATATATAGAATATATTAATATATTATTCAGTAACGGTTCGGTTTGGATTTACTAATGATTCAGATTGGAAACGATTTGGTTCGGATCGGCTACGATTTGGTTCGGATCGATTTTTGCAGAGTCCAATTCGTTAACCAAATTGCGAATACTGGATTGCAGATTTTTCAAACCATCACCGAACCATAAAATCTGAAAACCGAACTGAACCACACAGATCGGATTGGTTTGGACCGGATTGACGGATTATTTGCTCACCCCTAGTTAAATCCCTGTTAAATAGACTGGTCTCCCCTTAACAAACCCAAAACTAGGTCTGTTAAATTAGGGCAAACGGACGAGTGGACTTAAGTGGGCCTGACCTGCAAGGCTGCACCAATGATGGGCCAAGGGTGGCCCTCTCTTTTACTCACCAGCACTGGGCTAGGCTGTTCTATGGTCCATCTAGAAATCGTACCAAAGTTTGGTAAGTTTGATTATATTATTAATTTTCGGCCCATGAATCTATATTGTAGTTTCTTAGGTGGGCGTGGGCCTAATATGAGCAACCCAAGTCCCATCCAAAAAATTTTGGAGCATGAACTAATCAGAGTGCGAATTCAATTTGGGCGGAATTTGGACAATGTTTCTCCAACGAAAAAAAATTAGCACTGCTATTTGTCGTGACAATTGGCCAAACATTCACAGGCACATTCTTATACTTGATGATTAAATTATTATTATTATTTATTTATTGACGTGGTGCGACAAGTTAAAAATTAAAAATTCAAGTGTAAATAACGAAAAATCCAACTGCAAAAGTATAAACAATTCCAGATCTAATTTGATCGTTATGAACAAATTCAAAATCTTTGTACCAAGAGGCAACATTGGTGGACCCAATCAGGCTGGATTTATTTATTAAGGGAACCACTTGATATTTAAATGGTGCATGTTACACACACAAGCATATAGATATGTGTAGGTATGCTTGTCTGTATGCGCGTGTACCATTGTCAATGTTTTGATTTCAAAAAGGATACATAATTGTGTGTGTTTTTGGTTGGGAAGTTGATTTATGTGATTGCGTGGCCTTGGAAGTATATGTATAATCAGGACCCTTGAGCATCACCATTTCAAAGTAGACCAAAAATGGGGAGAAACATCTGGACAATTTAATACCAGCCCTGGTCATCACACTACCTTCGCTTTTCATATTGTCACTTTGCATCCATACACGTATATATGTAGTTGCATGGACCTATTAATTTATATACATTCAATATATATATATATATATATATATATATATATATATATATATATATATTATATACACACCTATATTTGCGTACGTATTATAAACAAATGTTCATGGATTTCATAGAGAGTTACGTTGATGTTCATCCACATGTTGGGATCTCGTATATCTGCTAAAAACCCTAAATTATGTGAACTCTCCATATATATAATAATAGTCATGGTTGTTATTAAAGAACACATTGCACTATTATTCAAAGTTTGTTGGATATATATCGGATACATCATAACAAGAACCTAGCTAACAACATTCATGTAACTACCAAATCTAGATAAATTACATAATAGAGAGTCAACTTTAATTGCGTGGTGACTTAATTAGAAACCGTAGATTTGAGACAAGTAATTAATTACATTAATCAGAATGTTATGTAAGCAAATACTCAAATTCATGTTATGGTGGCTAAATATGGCATGGACTTCCCAATAAAAAATATAAGATGGCCAAAATTATAAAGTAATGAGTTTCATTTTTTATATATTCATTTCTACTAGATTCAGATGTCTTTTGAACAGCAAACAGGGGGACAAAAACATGAAGTTTATCGTTTCATATATATATATGTATATACTATTTTATCTCTCTTAGGGTGTTACAGTTTTTACATGTGTTACAATTCTGAAACTAAACTATAGTTTTCATCGACATCGAACATATATGTAGTTATATAACATGTACATTAAGTACATTATTTGTGCTTCTAGAACGATAATTAATATATAATTAAGAGATGTAGACTTGTAAGATAAGAAAGAAGGGCAAGAGTAGTGCATGGATTGACCTTTTGATAGAAAATAGCAGTAAATTATAAATAAAATAGTGTTTGACCATACACTTTATGTTGTTAGATAGAGGTGGATGAAGTAAACGACCTGAATTTCAACGACTTTGAATTGGGTTTCTCATAGTTACCTCCTGACTGCTAGTACTGCTGATGAAGCAACATAATTGTTTACATGCTTCTAACACACACAAACACACACAAAGAGAGAGAGACATATATATATATATATATATATATATATATATATATATATATATATTACTCCATAGATATATGTTTATCGACTTAGAGTCCATGTGGTGTTCAATGAATCTCAGTAACAAAATTTATCCGAGATGGGACACATGTTAAGGGATGATTGTGCGACTGTTGAGAACAGATGGCTAAGTTGACTTTCTTAATAGATGGGACACATGTCAAAGGCCACTACGTGGCTGGATTTTAGTGGATTGACATCAGTAGGTCCCACCGTAGCAAAATAGGGCGTCTCATGCACAAGCACGTGTTAAAGGACATGCCACACCTTCACAATTTAATATATATAATTAATACACAATGAGCTTAATGTGACGAAATGAACACTGTTTAGTCCCATCCATTGATGGAATATGTGACTTTTGATAAATATAAGATAAAATAACATTGATGGAAATAACTGGCCAAACAATCCTAATTGTCTCATACATGAATGACGATACGATGATAACAACATAAGTTTCACATTGATATGATATATAATTAAATTCAATCGTATTTAAATATTTTTTTCGTCTCATATTAATTGTCAACTTTAAAAATTTTGATTCACAATCTTTGTGAATTAAAGTTGTCGAAATAGACATCTAGTATGGATATAGGAGGTATATAAGTATATTAAAGGAATATGACTAAAAATAATATCAAACGATTTAAAAATAAAAGGTGATAGTAAGTCAAAATTTTTCAAATTAACAATTATTATGGGACGGAGGTAGTACTAAAATTTATACATACGTATGGGAATCCAAATGGATGGGATATACACACTTATTTGACCATCTTTACATGCTCTTAGATAGACCCCGTTTAGTTCACCATGTACTATGTTTTTATTTTTATTTTTTGGGTAATTAACTCATGTACTAATTTTGAGTGCACAATTATACAATTTTTTAGTGCAATTCAAGATGTATTTCTATGCGTAAATTTTGAGTGCACAATTATACAATTTTTAGTGCAATTCAAGACGTATTACTATGCGTAAATTTTGAGTGCACAATTATACAATTTTTAGTGCAATTCAAGATGTATAATGCGTAAATTTTGAGTGTACTGGTGCAGATTGCATATTTAGGGTTAAATTCACGAAAATTCCAGCAACTTTGTATACATAAGTGAAAATTTATTGCTCTTTAATGGAAATCCGCTCATTATTCAATTTTGCTTCTTTTCCACGAACTTTAAGAGCCTTGATGACTATAGGGTATATGATTTGCCCATTTCGTTTACACTACTATTATATACTAAATTTGAGTCTTTAAAAGTAATTAATTTAAAACGATTGACTAAATTAAATAAATTTATAAAAATCTATCAAATATATGTGATCTCCCAAAAATGGATTGAAGTTTTGGACCTTTTAGTAGTAATTTGATATATGGTACATTGACACTTTACATGTTGCTTATGGTGATGGAAAGCTAACGTAGATGAAGAAATAAGTCTAATAAAAATTTTATAAGTTTGAGACAAAGAAGAAAGCCATGGAACAAATGAAGATTTCGTTATAATTGGTAGGGGAGCTACATCTACCGTACCGACCAAGCAACAAAAAGGTCAAACCCATTCATCAGTTACCACATGTCACCTTCACCCAATCATTTTTTACTGTGACCTAGTTAACTCCTCATACGAGTAAAACAATAACCATTCCTAAAATGAATACAAAATTTAATTTTCACCCCCTTGGAGCACACAGGAGAGAGAAATAAAGAGAGAGAGAGAGAGGGGGGCGGCGCCAAATCCCATTGACTTCTAGGCAGTTTGTTTGTATCATCTATATAAATGGGGTTCATCTTCTTCCCATTTGGACCTACAAGTTTCACTTTCTGTTGTAAAAGCTCTTACTTTCTGCTCTGTCTTTCCATTTGTATAAACTTCAATAACTACACATTTCGCCTATTATAACAAATTTAGGGCAAATGGGAAGAGCGCCTTGTTGTGATAAAAATGGTCTCAAGAAAGGGCCATGGACCCCTGAGGAAGATCATAAGCTCATTCAACATATTCAGTTGAACGGACCGGGCAACTGGCGAAACCTACCAAAGAACGCCGGTATATATATACACACACAAACTCATATATTCTTATAACTATATGTCTTGCTTGTTATATACGTTTAATTCTCAATATTTTCCTTCCTTCCTTTTTTTTTTTCGTTTCTTTTTCTATAGGGCTTCAAAGATGTGGAAAGAGCTGTCGTCTTCGTTGGACAAACTACTTGAGACCCGATATCAAAAGAGGAAGATTCTCATTTGAAGAAGAAGAGACTATAATCCAGCTACATAGTATTCTGGGGAACAAGTAATCCTATTATATATATATATATTTCTTTTATACAGTACTTCTTTTGAGCCTGATATCTGGAAGTTGATATATAATGTGTTCTCTATACATGGATCATACCATGCAAGTTACTTTGTCATATATGTGTGTGTGTGTGCGCATAAATTCAAAAGTTGTTGATTTACTTTTCTTCTATTGATCTTAGATGGTCGGCCATTGCGGCTCGCTTGCCAGGAAGAACTGACAATGAGATCAAGAACTACTGGAACACACATATTAGGAAAAGGCTCCTTCGGATGGGTATTGATCCAGTAACTCATAGTCCTCGTCTCGATCTTGTAGACCTCTCCTCAATTCTCAGCTCAGCTCAGCTCAATCTCTCGAACCTACTCAGCCTTCAAACACTTGTAAATCCAGAAGTGTTGAGGCTTGCCACCACTCTTTTAGCATCATCAAATCATGAAAACCAAGAGATGCTTTTACAAAAGCTTCATGAAAACCAAATCTTCAATCCTCAACTTCAGAATCAGACCCCACTTCTCCAACCCAATCAGTTACTCCAAACCCCAATTCAAGAACTACCACCTTCCACCTCATCTACTCAATTTTTGAATCAAACGCAACTCATGCAAGGGGAATTATTGGGACAACTTGGAACAAACTTGGATAACTTGAATTTCCAAAAGTTCCAAGAAACTTTAGCACCTTCAAGTTCAAATGGAAGTTTTGTTACTCCACCAAATTATGGCTTTTCGGGGTGTGATCAAATCACCACAAATCTATCGGACAACTCAAACTTTCAATCTTTGAACGACAACAACAGCAAGGACAATCAGAATTTCAGCTTTGATTCGGTTCTATCAATGCCTTTTTCAAGTTCGACACCCTTGAATTCGTCGTCTACGTTCATCAACAGCAGCAATGAAGATGAGAGAGAGAGCTACTGCAGCAGCATGTTGAAGTTTGAGATTCCTGAGAGCTTGGACTTCGATGATTTTATGTAAATTAATGTTGTTTATATATAACCTTTGAGCTAGATAAAGACATATGAATTGAATGAACTATCTTGTTTTGTATTGTTTGGGTTTGGTTCATTCAGGTTTGTAGTTGGTGTTGATAGGTCAATGTATTTTTGTAACATCTTCAGTAGCAGTGTGTATCAATGTAACAGTATCCTGTTTTCTTAATTCATTTATTTGTAGCTTTATATATCATATGTGAAGATTTATTTCTTCCTTCTCCTCTTCTTAATTATTTTTATATAAAAATAGTGAAAATTTAAATTGTCAGATCAGCAAACAAATTGAGGCAACAAAGAGCCTCTTACCTTGTACACAAAATGGATATGTATATATGTAAAAAGGGCTTTTCAGCTGCTTGGAACGATGGAATATGATACTAGTTTAGTTGGATTAGGCAATACTAGTAGAGGAAATTTTTAGTCCTCTAACAATTTCATTTGTTTATTTATGAAAATCTTTTACTTTTCATTGTCTTGATTACCATATATGTTTATCAAACTACAGAGAGACAAAAGTTTCGTGTGGATAGATGAAATAGTACTTTTCATTGTATTAAGACCAACATTTGCTCCTGTGAAATAAATTACTGTAATTAGCTATGAATTAGTATAAAACTCATCATTGTTCTTTTCCGTTGAGATCAAGTTTAATTACAGTTTCTCGGATTAGGTACATAGAAAAATCCCTCTTATATATACTTTATGTAGCAGAATGAGGAAAGGAAGAGATAGATATTCCATGCCACTTCTCCGAGCATATGTGCATGTAATTGATGACAATATGAGAACACCTTATTTATATTTTTTTTCCTTTTTTTTTTTTTTTTTTTCCTCATGTCAAAATCTTCCTAATCTGGCAGTTAATTGAAGGTTCTAAGAAGGCTGAATTTAATATCAATCAACTTTAATTAGAAGCAGCATTTTCAGGCTTTAATGCTGCAGTAGAGGTGTGTGTGATTAAGGCCAAAACATAATGTAAATACTGTTCCAAAACATAATATACATATGATCAAGTGCAGAAAACACCCCTAAAGTATACTTACAAGGCATATCATACCCTCACGTGCAAAAAACACCCCTAAAGTTTTAATTTGGAGCAAATAGGTCCCTTTGACTAATTTAAAACCTAAATTGACTAATTACCCTTACTGAACCATTTTATAAAATATATAAAAATAAACAATTTTGTAGAATGACCAAAAAGGTCACTATTGGATGAGGATATCCCTCTCGTGCAAAAAACACCCCTAAAGTTTCAATCTGGTGCAAATAGGTTCCTCTGACAAATTTAAACCCTAAATTGACTAAATTATCCTTACTAAAATATTTTATAAAATATATATAAATAAATAATTTTATAAAATGACCGAAAATGACACTATTGGAGGATACCGGTAATGGACAAGTAAAAATAAAAATAAAAGTATAAAAGAAAAGTAAAGATAAAAATAAAAAATAAATTACAAAAATAAAATACAAACTAAAGAAAATAAAAAATTTCCAAACTTCGAAAACCAGTACATACTGATATTGAGATTTTTATTTATGTTTTGTTTAACAGTGTTGGTAAGAAAAATAAAAAAATAAAATAAAAAAAAGAAAAAATGAAGGAAAAAAATTAATAGAAAAAAGTAAACTGAAATCTCAAAAAATTCAAATTCTTGTTTTACAAATTCTCAAAGTTAATATATATATAGAAAAAAGATTTTTTTAAAAAATATATACATGTATAAGGTAATGTGCGCATAACGCACTTATATTATGAGATTAGTAGCATATATATCCCCTTAGTCATTTTCGGAAGAGTAAAAAGGTAAAACGGGTATTACAACACTAATTTATAATAAATGGGCTATTTTTGCACAATGTAAAAAGATTAGGGATATTTTTTACATACTATTTTAAATAAAAAGTAAAAGTGCAACGCGAAATATACTTTAAAGTGTTTTCTACACTTGGTCCCTGTACATACTCCAGTTTTAGAGAATCCTGGTTTTTGTGTTGTAGATCAAATGTTTGTACGGGCGGTGCACAGTAGAAAATTTTGGTCTATGCAATTCTGATCAATGATATATTATATATATATTTTGGGTGATTAAGTTAAAGTCAATTTGTATTAAGAAGAAACAGTACAACATATAGATGACAGCCCAAGGCCGAGATGGATTCAAAAAACACACAAAAAGAACAAAGCTGTAACAGGCACAAAAGCAATTAAAATAATATTTCTCCTTCAAAAGTTTTAACATTCGAAATAGAACTTAAAAGTGCCATCTTGTCTTTACATGCCGTACTTATTTTCTTGTAATAATCATTTCAGCAGAATTTAAAATGAAAATCGAATGCCAGTACAGTACATGAAACTTAATTGATTCTTAATTTTTTTTTTTTTTTTTCATTAATTCATTCTTAATTGATTCATTGAAAATTCGATAGATATATATATATATAGTATATATGGTATTGGTTTTTCCATGTTGTGGGGTATAGAGACGAAGTTATTGACAAATCTTTTCTACCAAAAAAAGGTTCTTCGACTTGTAGTGGAATATATATATCAAATTAATTCATCACCGTCTATAACATCACATCATTAATCACTGTAATGCCAATAATACATATGGAAGGCTACAAAATCATATAATGTTTGGACATTGCGTGTAGAAATATATTAGGTATACCACTTGAATATTTGGACATATAATGTTGACAATACCAAACTATAACAAGGATTAGGAAATTCTAATCCTCCACTAATATTTAGTTTGAGCAACCCAAGGACTTTAATCTTTAACCTTACAATTTAGAAATTGAAGAGACACTATTTTTTTTTTTCAATATAATTTAGCATAGATCATACTTCAATGTTGAAATATTGTGATGTGAACGTTAACAAACCACCTATAACCTACATTTAGCTTTCGCAAAGAAGCACTTAATTTGCTCGATCATCAACCACCACAAAATCTAGTTTGAAAATTCGCAACTTAAAAACTTGTTTTTGTGTTGATCCACATTGCCATTTATTCATTTATTTATCTTGTAATAATCATTTCACAATAATAACATATGCATAGAGAGGGCAAATTAATACTTGTACAAGCGAAACAGGTTTTGGAAACTCAGTGCATGCTATCTATCTATTTTTCTTAATTGTGGAGGATAAATACAAAGTTATTGACGACTAATCTATCTTTATTAGGTTGGTAGGTTTGAACAACAAGTTTATATTCTTATTCCAAGAAAAGGTGCCGCTAATGTAGTGGAAGAATTTATCAACTTAACTCATCATTGTGAATTTGATCGAATCATTCATCATTAATGTCATGCTACTATGATACCATTTATGAATTCACATGTCAATTTTTATTTTTTATTTATTTTATTTTTTTTTCCGGGTAAATAATTAAGCAATTCATTGAAACAAATTAAGAAGGCATAACCATGTCAAAATAACCAAACTATTTTCAACATAATCCATTTATATTACTCTTCATATTCTGTTTATTTGTTTAAATTTAATTAGTATTTATATTTCGTTATTGCAAAATAAGTGAGGAAAAAAGAAGAATAAAATTATATATTTATTCTCTTGAAATTATGGACACAATTACAGTTCTAAAATGAATATTCTAAGCTTTACATTTCTAGTTTTGGGCACATGAACAGATTATTGAAATTGTAATTTCATAACTCAACTTAAAAATATTTGTCTAGTCATTGTAAAGTGATAAAAGCAACAAATAATTTGTCTATATTTGTCTCCATTGGAGGATAGTAGATGGGAGTTCTGAAAGTCTTACCTAAAATAAAAGAAAAAGAAAAGTCGGGCTCAAGTTGGCCCAAATCCATATGGGTATTTGATCGTGTGTGTGTGTGTGTGTGTATAACTTGAGACCGATTGAAATTATGATTAAGAATTTAGTACCATGCGAAAGCCTCATGAAGGCCCACCACCTAAACCCACCATCTATTTGCCTCTCTGAAAGCCCAATTCAGAAAGCCTCAAAAAAGATTATTAAGAAGTTATACTTTAATGAAATTCTAAAAAATAACCTATCAGAAAAAATAAATAAAATTCTATTAAACATGTCTGTTTTGCTAGAATGCTTCGGCTGCCACAATCATGAAATCCAGTTGGGGGTGGAACGGGCTGAACGGGTCAGCCCGCCCGACTCAAAAATATTCAGATTTGAGTTACTAACAGTGCCCAGCTTTGTATGACATTGGGCCGGCCCAACTCAACCCAACTTCGAGTTGAGGTCGGGTTGGGGCTGCCCAACTTGCAGCCCTAAACTCTACGTTAAAGGTGTGTTTACTGTAGGGAATTAGTGATACAATAAATAAGGTAATTATTGAAAGAACAAAAATGAGTTTTAAAGTCACTTGGGAGGAAAAACTAAATTCAGGTACAAGTACAACCAAGTTTTTCTCCCCCATTAAATTCAAATGATCTAAATAAATAAATAAATAACTTTGTTGGTTGTTTGGGTTTAGTCACTTGGTCTTTAAATAGCTAAAGAAGATTAGGCTGTACCTGTAACACTCGCAAATTGGAGTGGGTTTTTTTTATGTTGCAATAGAAAGCTGCTTTGTTTTGTTGTGGCCAATTTTGAAAAGTCGATGCTACTTTTTCACCCACTTCCTTTTCATGATTTTCAAATCATTTGCTTTTGGGAGTGGTTTAAACTTTGCAAAACGACTTGCTTCACACAACTAAATGATTCCCTAATTTTTCTATTGGAATTGGCTTTGATACACAGTTTGAATTACAGATTCATTTCATTTTATTAGCGAAAATTAAGATATACTATCTTCACATTTTGCTTCCTTTGGTTTCTCATGTTCAGATCTCAAAAGTTTCATAGCGTAGCAGCAATCTACACTAAACCGGAGGCTTAAAGTAAAATTGTTAAATGACATGCATTCTCATATTAATAATATTATTCTCTCCTACTCATAAAAATTGTCCCTTCGACAAAACACCTAACTTTATAAAGGTGTAATTTTTAATATTTTTTATTATAGTAAAAATGAATGAATTTTTAAATACACCGTCTATGATGTTCCACAAACTTTAGTTGCCGTTATAACTACAATGAAGGTATATTAGAAATATTTAAAAAAGTTGTACATCAAATTTTGAATTGAGACAATTATTTATGTAAACATTTTTTAACACTTTTAGGAATTTGAATAAGAACGGTGTTCATCCCGGCCAACGGCAATGTATCTAATTTTTTAACCATTTTCAAATAATATTTCAAAATTTTAATATTAAGTAAACAAAAATGGTCCTCCATCAAGAAAATGATTCGAACACTTTAATGCCATGGCTGGTACTGCACTGTATGAGTGATAGATGCGTGTTGATCGGGGTACTGGCACCTACGTTAGCAAACAAACACTATGATTACAACTTTTCCTGCTCATTTACCGAAGACCTACTCTCCTTTGTCTAATCTAAACACATCATGCCATGCTATGGGGTTCACAATATAATACTAACATAAATTGTCTTACAAAAAGCTATACCTTCCTTTTTCATTTTTTTCTCTGTCATCACAAATCGCAATACTCAAAAGTCTGAAACGAAAAGGACTAAACCCAAAAATAAAAAATAATAAAAAAGTAAAGATAAAGGAACCAATAAAAAAAGGGGGAAGACAGCAACCTCGAGATTGTAAGCTTTTTGCAAAGATGACCTTTTTGTTAGAATAATTTTCGCTTGATTGCAACCTTTTCTTTTCTCTCTCTCTCTCTCTCTCCCTCTCTCTCTCTCCAAATAATGCATATGTGATCTTTGTATGTACATCTTGTGACTTGTCCTCTAGGCAAAATGAGAATTGAGAAGTGAGTGAAAAATTGAAATCCAGTACAGTTGTATTTGTTAGGGACACCATTTCCATAATTTTCATCCTTTCTTTATGAATAAATAGTGCTGTTGAAATAAAGTTAATAATTGAAGGATTTTTTTTTTTTTTTTACAAAATAAATTGAATGATCCCATCCATGTGAAGTTTGTGAATTCAATTCTTAAGGTCAAAACTCCAAATATGATTTTTTTTTTTTTACTTTTTAACACCTTTTTTTTTTGTTATTCCTTTATTTATTTATTATAATTATCATTCATTAATAAGAGACATTTCTTTTAACTTATGTGGACAAAATATGAATAAACAATTATTGGTGCATATATAGGCTGTCATGGACTATTGTCTCTGAGTGGGGAAGGTACCAAACCACACGCTTGAGACATGCAGATGGGGCTGCTTAAAAGAGTTTAAGAGAGTAATGTCAAATCACTAAGGTGCCCGTCCCTTTTCCTAATCTTCCTTGCTACCTCTTCCCTAGGTTTATATGTTCACAATTTAAAAACTAAGAGAGTAATGTCAAATCACTAAGATGCCCCTCCCTTTTCCTAATCTTCCTTGGCTACCTCTTCCCTAGGTTTATAAGTTCACAATTTAAAAACTAAGGATATAATTGCAAAATATTGTATTGGAGTTACAATTAACAAAATGAAACTAAGGAAGCAGTCAGCAAGAAAAAGTAAATATTAGTTCTAGTATCCACCATTTCATTTAATTATGGACAGTCTATTATTGGCCACAATTTGACAACAAAACTTAAAAGAGAAAATTAGGAAGAAGAGATGATGATAGAACAACAAAATAAATCAACTTTAAGTGACAATAAATTGAAACAAGGTAATTTCTTAATAAATGGAGTATTCATTTAATCCATTGAACTTATGTAGTGTGTGAATAAGATTACCAACCATAAATGTCCTCTAAAAATAAATAAGTAAAAAAAAAATGATACATAAGTGTTGTGTAACTGAGGTGTAGGCCCACATAATATCATCCTTTCTCACATATTTGTTAATAAGCATTAAGAAAAACACTTATGTTACTCTAACATATATACAAGTGATGACATTCAAACCACCATTAATATTCAAGTATTTGTATGCGGGATTGAAAGTTGCCTCGTTGCTTATAAATATATCTAGCAATCTTATATGGAATCAGAATTATATATAATTACATTTTGTGACTTAAGCCAACAAGTATGTACTTAAAATTATGTAAGAATTATTAGATAATTTTGGACTATTTGATATTTAGTAAAACCAATTTAATTTAGACGGTTGTTAAAACTTTTTATAATATAGGAGTATATTAATATACAAGTGTAAGTTCATTTTCCCAATCCAAAATTTTTAAATGAATTGATTGCTGGATTAATGATTTATAAACATCTAATAACGGGCAAATCCTCTGATGTGATTATTCCTGCAGTTCCCTGCTGTCCACTGACTTGAGGTCTTAGTTGGCCACATTTTACTTCAATTAATAGATACTAAGACTGTATTTGGCAATTATACCACCATTTAGAAATAACATTTCACCACCATTTATAAATAACATCATAGAAGTTTAAAAAGTAACATCACCATTTATAATAGGGTAACATCACCACTTAAAAAGTAAAAGTTGTTGATAACCAAATACCTCATAATCCCCTTCAAAGTCCTCTTTAAATTATCATGTGACTATTTTTTTGGATATTCTATTTTTTATGATAAAATTTAACTTAAAAAATATATAAAATAATATATTGAATTGAGTTAGATTTATGTATGACTATTAGTTTTTCAGCACTATGTGAATACTTTTTTTTATGGTGAAAATGGTGAGTGTGGCAATTAATATTAAACTTTGTCAAAAAAATTTCAAAGATATGTTAAATAATTTATATCTAAGTGTATTTTTTTTTTTTTTTTAATATTTGAAAAAAGAAGAAGAAGAAGAATATGTGGCACTTTTCATTATTTTTTAAAACAACAAGTGTTTGGTTGGTTGTCTAAAGTTAATCAAAGTGATTTTAATTTTGATTTAAATTCTTTAAATTAACATGTGTTTTTAAAATACTTTAATATCAAATTATAACATAAATGATATATTAAATTGAGTTATATTTGTAAGTGACATTAATTAATATGTGTATTATGTGTATATTTTATTTTGAGATTAAAAATATTTATAAATAATGATAAAATGGTATTTATAAATGGAGTAATTGAAATAAAACGTAATCAAATATAGATGACTTAACATTTACTGCGGGAGACAGCACGAAAATCACAGTACAGGAGATTTGCGCCCATCTAATAACAGGGAGAGTGGAGTCACCTTTCACCCACGTAAGAACAAAGGCACATTCATGTCAAGGCAGTGACGAATAATGAAAGAGAAAGGCGCAACACAAGCTTCCAAATACCTCAGATCTCTTCCCTATCAAACAAACACTCCGATCTGTATCCACGATTCTCTTCCCTTTCTCTCGGTCCCACCTTCAACTTTCCCTTTCCTTTTACTCGTATCTCTCAATTTACCATTCAAAAAAAGGAGATGATATTATATTCATTCTATTTTTCATTTTTCATTTTCCGTTCGAATTCGGAGCGGCACGCATAAAATCCAGAGAGATCCTGGACGTCCTTTGCTTTTTCTCTCTCTAAAATTCATCCTGTATCTCGTTCTAGACAGAGAAACACTTATTCTGTTCCTCCCTCCATCTCTTTTTTTCCCGTTCGTGTATCCAATGAGATTCAAAGATTACTGTTACTATCGTTGAATCTCTCATACCCTCGTAAGTCGTAACTCTCTACTAAGCTTTTCATGATAATTACATCTTCATGTAAATCCAATTAAATTTCTTTTACTGAAACAGTGTCAAACTCGGAGTAACTAAAAACACGTGAACATTGATATCTGACGCTTCTGATTTTTCTTCGCATCGATTTCTGGTGCATGTAATGATATTCGATTTTGACAATGGAGAAATTAGCTGCTCATCTCACCATTTTCATCTATCTGTTATCACTCTTTGATCAATCTTTTGCCGGTTTACTTACCGAACCGGCTCAACCATTAAAACCGGGCGACTCAACACCGAACACGGTGCCGGCGTTTCCGCTACAGACTGAGACTCCAACTTGCCGACTCGACCTCTCGGCGGAGCTTTTCGGAGGTGTGAACGACGCGTGCGGCCGGAACCTTGACCGGAGCCGATGCTGCCCGGTGCTTGCGGCGTGGCTCTTCGCCGCGCACGCTCGGTCCGCCTTGCAGGTGCCGGTGGCGGCGGCTCCGGCGTCATCCGACCTGCCGATGATGCCGGACGACTCGCAGAAGTGCGTGGACTCGCTGCAGAGCTCTCTCCAGAGCCGCAACATCCACATTCCTCAGCCGAACGCCTCGTGCGACGCGGTCCTCTGTTTCTGCGGCATTCGACTCCACCAGATCAGCTCGTTGAGCTGCCCGGCGGCGTTTAACGTTTCGACGGCCCATCGGAATGCGACTCCGACCGCCGCGGTCAAGAATTTGGAGCGTAACTGCCGGAATTCGACGTACGCCGGTTGTACCAAGTGCCTTGGTGCTCTACAGAAGGTCAGTTTTCCTATAATGAAATTATTAGACGGAATTGTCCCGGATATTTCTTCATTTTTGTAATATAAGTTCATAGATAAACTGAGCAGCACCAATTTTTTTCTAAATTTCCTTTAAATTGTAGGATAAATAAATGGTATTTAGTTTTTCTGAATTTGTGAAACGTTTTGGAAAAATATAGATTTCAGGTGGTTTGTCCATCAATATATTCTCCAATAATGGAGAACACAAGTGCATATTCCATTTTTGTGAAAATGACCTTTCATTATTTGTTTCATTGGCCTATCGTATTAAATTGCAATGAGATTTGATTTTTTCATGGTTCCGGCGTTTTGAGTTCTAAAATGCCCTTGTTTGTTGTGGATAATTACAGCTGAAGGGCAAGAACGGAAGTGAAGAGGGTAGTGATCGGACGAGCAAGATGTTGAGCAGGGATTGCCAGCTGATGGGTCTAACATGGCTGCTAGCTCGGAACAAGACGGCGTACATTCCGACGGTGTCGGCTGTATTGCGCGCCATCATGTACAGTGCGCACCCACCCCACCAGTCCACGTGCAGTCCCGATCAAGAGAACATGCCGCTGGCCGTCGATTCCCTACAGTTCGTGAAGGCCGATTCTTCAACGGCGTCGTTAACGATAACCATTCTTAGGATTCCGATTCTGACCCTCCTAGTTCTTGCTGCTCTGTTTGTGTAGGATTGTAGCATGGTAAACAAGTTTCTTTTGCATGTGATGTGGTCGGGTCACGTGAAGCTAGTTGACAATACATTAGGGGCCCTTTTTTGTCTTTTTGCCCACTGTAAATCTCAGGTCTACATTGCAGACTTGTTTTCACTTGTAGTACGAGGAAATCTTATTTACCTACCCTTTCTTCTTAGCTGTCAATTTTAAAAAAAAAAAAAAAAAAAAAAAATTACTTTTCAATGTTCAATTTACCAAAAGTTTAGTTAATATGATAACTTCATTTTGGTGAAATGCGGAATTAAAAATTATGAATGTTATTTTTTGGAGCACCCAATTGAATTTTAGTTTAAATTTTAAGTTAAATTTATTTAGTTTTATACTACGTAGGTAAGACGTGGATTAAATACTTCAGTAAATTTTAAAATACCATTGAAAACATTGTTGACCTATAGAGCTAAATTCTGAAAAGGGTCTAGTGTTTCTTCAACTAAATGGTCATTAATCAATATTGTTTGTGTGGCAAAAAAAACATGAATTGCGACTTTGTGTACGTTAGACTTTAGATGCGTTTTAGTTCATGGGGAAGTGAAACTGTGTGTGCATATAACAATGGCTCATAAAAGTTTGGGTAAAGTGTATTAAACCCTCCTAAATTATTGATCATTTATAAGAAATCTTCTTAAATTATAAAAAAATCCCTCTGAACTATGATTTTGTTGCAATTTACTCCTTTGAATTATTGATCATTTGCAAGAAACCTCCCTGAATTACAAAAAAAACCCCTGAACTATGATTTTGTTGCAATTTACCCCCCTGAACTATGATTTTATTGCAATTTACTCCCATAACATCAGCTTTCGGTACCGAAAATTTTGAAAGACCAGTTTACCCTTGTAATACGTACACTGCGTCGTTTTAACTTATACACTTCTTATTTTTTTACTACCAAAAGATGCCTTTCACCTAACACAACCCAAAACTGAGAGCTAGAGAGACAAAGAAGAGACCAAAGAAATCCGAGGTCGGCGGGATGGCTCGGTCTCGGATGATGGCAGCTTGTGCGCGGAGGACTTGGCTATGATGAGAGCTCGGTTGACTCGACCGTAAACTGTGGAGGCGGCGGCGAGCTTAAGGGGGCTCGGCGGTGAACTGTGGATGGCTGTGTGCTCGAAACACGGACGACGATGTGCTCGGCTATGGAGATGGCAGAATGGGCCGGCGAGATTGGAATGGACGATGGAATGGGCCAGCGAGATTGGAATGGACGGTGAAATGGACCGGCGAGCAAGGTGAGCTGAACGGCGGGTAAGGCGGTGACGGCGATGGGCTGACTCAACGGTGCAGAGAAGTGCGATATATATGGCCGACGGATCTGGCTAGTGGTGCAACAGCTATGATGGAGTTATGACAGGAGACTCACCGATTTCAGTAACAAATTCCTCGACTTTATCGTCCCTTTTAGTCAATCAATTCGCGTGGATGGAGTAAACTACAAAAAAATATATAGTTCATGGGGTTTTTTTGCACATATCCCAATAGTTCAGGAGAGTTTTTTTCAACCTTTATAGTTTAGGGGATTTTTTACACATATCCCAATAGTCCAGGGGATTTAATGCACTTTACTATGAAAGTTTTAAGCCTTTTGGGAACCACTAAAACCCGAGAAAGTGCGACTCTCGAGGACTGTGCATGTTGGTCGTATAGTTAATAGGGAGATTAAATAAAAAAAATACAAATATTCTCTTATTATACAACTCATAGAACATCAGATTAGATCTAAAACAACTAAATTAGGATTAAATTACTTACTTCTATGATACTAAATATATAAATAAAAATCGTATCACATGTTACGGGGAGAGAATCACGGCTGAATAATTGTCGCGACTTAATTTTTTTAGATGAGGCTGACAGTGCTTCTCTATGTAAAATGGGACCCTCAACGTCTCATCTTGACAAATTGTTTGCAATAATTTCAAACCCTAGCTAATTCAATTCTTTTTGGCACACTTGTTTGTTTTATTAACGTCTCTGTTTGGTTCGTTGGTCCAGACCAGATTCAACGGCTGAAGGTCTGTCTAGTTAAACACGAGCGCTAATACACAGATTTTTTTTTTTTTTTTTTTTTTCTCTTCCTCTGATACCACAGATAGAACTGCCAAATGAGAAACAATACTTGTGGGGTCGCCATAGACACAAGGTAGCCCCACAACCATTGTGTGTGCTTCGGCGGTTCGATTTTCGGCAAGACTTTGACTAATTGTTTGCAATAATTTCATAATCCAGCCATTCAATTCTTTTTGGCACACTCATTTGAGAAGCCTTGATTTTTGATTGTTTTATTAGCGTTTCTGTTTGGTACGTTGGTCCTGGAAGCTCGACCAACTTGGTTATTGGATAATAGTTTACTAACTATTAAATTTACATTGTTCGAAAGTTGGACGTTGGACCAACTAAGTAATTAGGTAATACCTCGCTAAGAGTGTTAATACACAAATAAAACTATCAAATGAGACTATGGTTTGCCGTATAATCTATACGAGAGGTATTGACCCTTTTTCGAAGGTCTTATACCGTTGATTTGATCAATTTACACTTATTTTGTTCAAATCCATAATACCGCGACCACAATCAACACCGTAAACCATGAATGAGACATAATACTTGAGGTCGCCATAGACACATTGTGGCCCCACAACCATTGTGTCTGCTTTTTCCATTCGATTTTTGGCGAGACTGGCATTTTGCACATACCATAGGCACTAACAATAACGACCCAGTTTTTATTCGAAATAATAGGAGGCTTTGGCTGCTTCTCATTTTCATCTGGCAAACTATAGATTTTCTTCTGACAACACCTCTAATGACAGTTTATTCATGGATTTGTTCATATCATCCTTGTTAGGCATGCTGACCATTGGTGTCATCCTCTTGCTCATGATTTTCAGTCAAAGTCATCTTAAAATGCCTACTTTTACATTTAACATATACGGTATTGTCGTAAAAATATAGAAAACCTAAAAGGTAAGACACTATATATTCACTTTTGTAGCAGTTGAATTTAGATTAGATTAAAAACTATAAATTCACTATTTTTCAGATTTTCATTCTTTCAAGTTAAAAAAAAAATAAATAAAAAAATAAAAAAATAAAAAATAAATAAAAAACTGTACATAACCAGAGAGTCCTAACCGCAGCACTTTAGTGCTGTAGTTTCATCAATGTCAAAAAAAAAAATCAGAACCTTCTTCAATTTTTTTTTTTTTTTTTTTTTTTTCAGCATATAAGATTCGACACTATACGAAGTTATAATTATAGCTTTTCCTGTCCAAACTAGAATCTAAAAAACCCTAACCTTTAAAATAGCTAGAAACGATGATCACCAGCCCTTTCCTATGAGCCACAACCAGTCAAGTGTTACCCCTGCAAATACACCTCCTACAAGAAAGAGAAGAAGTATATTTCCCAAGGCATTTTGCTCCGGTCCCTGCAAAAAAAAAAAAAAAAAACCCAAAAATGCCATATAAGTTTCTGCAGGAACACTATCTCAAACTTTGAGAAGCTGAGACTTTCAAGCATCGTCTGATAAAACGAACCTTATAACCTTTGGGAGCTGAAGTAAGGACACAGACCGTTAAGTAACCATTAGTTAACCCCAAGACGGATGTTAGGAATATCATCCAGCCCTGGTCACCAAATTTCGCCGTAAAATAGAATGCCGGTACGAGTAAGAAACGAGAAAGAATAGCTATCATGAGTCCTTTTCGTGATTCCAACTTGATGCATTTCAAGAGTGGTATGTACCTCCCAATAAGATCCCACACATTATACATCGCTATCAGAACAAGAGCATACCTGAAATATGACCAAATGATCACAATATTATACATATTGAATTAGAGGAATAAAATTTTTGTAGCTAAATTAGATGAATTTTCTTTGAATGAATATAGATTGTTAAGTAAACTAATTAGGTTGGAAGCAAGCTGTATGATGATATAATAATACTCCTTTATAAGAAATTCTTTTCGTATATAAGATATCAATAAACTAATTAGGTTTTATGCCACTTACCAAGTGCCCAAGCTATGTGATCCAGTATCTTCAGATAAAAATCCAGGAAAAACTGACAGTGTCAATACATAGATCAGAAAAAGATCCAGCGCATAATCTTTGTTTTGAAACAACAAGTCTTTGTTGCCTAGTCGCTCCAATATTTTAGAATCTTCCTCCGCCTGTGGAAACTCCAAAATGCCAATCAGGCTTAGTTGGGAAAATTTTGTTCCATATACTTGATAGTCATTAAGAATTAAAAATGACATACTTCTTGCTTCTGTTGGGGTTGTGTATAAATGCCACCAGCTGCAAGGTCTGCTGAAATAGTTTTTGATCCCTCTAAGGCAGCCTTTGAATGATAATAATTCACAATTGGTAGCTTTGGGAAGACAAATGCGTAGAGAATACCACAGAGAGCAGCTCAAAAAATGCAGAGATAGCGAAGAATAGAACTGTGAGGGACAGTATAAAAACATTTTAGTCACGGAGAGTAACCAAGAGAACTAAAAAGTCCATATCGGTCTCCTCAAATCAAATGAAGTATAAGCTGCATGCATTTCGGCATCCCAAGTGTGTGATATCCATGACAAACATCAAGTAAAATTCGAAAACTCGAGGAAAGGAAGCAGAATACTTGTCGTAAAATGAAGTATAAGCTGTGTGCATTCGACATCCCAGATCAAGAGTAAGATGAGAAGAGCACAATTTACCTATTATCCATCTACTTACATTCATACTTTGGGTATTCGAGCTAATCTAATTCAAGCATGCAAAATTTTTCCTTTTTCTCATCATATAATCAAAAAATTGTAAACTCATGGGTACAAGTAAATTGTTCCATATATTTGCAATAACAGTAACAAAAATCAACGGAGTAAGGAGGTTTGGGTGTACGTGCTCCCTTGCGAAGACCATCCTTGGAATTATCAAATGCTGCTTTCGTGATTAACCTCAAACCAGAGGTTAGAGCCCCTGATGCGGCCATACCAGCCAGGAAAGACTGAAGAATACAAAAGAAGAAGATTGAGAGCGATCAGATAAATAAGGCGCTACAAGACTTTATTGAACTTGAAATAAGCTACTACAGATTCCAACTTGATCAAACTCAGGTAGCATGAATGAGA